TAATAGAAGGGTGTATTATATTTGATCTGCAATTATGAATTGAAACGGGGATAATTAACCTCATGAGACCAAATATTGTAGAAGTATTTTGTTATGAGGTGTGTGGATCTACTTATTAAAACCGGAAGTAGAATCAAATATCAAAGTGATTCCGTGAAAGTGCATAAATACGTATAAATGCTTTGCTCGTAAAAGCAGTTTTTGATAGACCAACTAATGAAAAACTCATGCTGGTTCTCCTTTTTTGCCTTTAAAAGAGAAGTTGAACCAATTCCAAATACATGCACTTAAATAAAATTAATCAAAATTAGTTAATGAATTTTAAATTTTTTTGAAAGAAAAATTATGTAATTAATTAATAAAAGAGATGACACCCCATCCAATTTTGTGTAGAACACAAAGAAAAATTAGGTAAATAATTAAGAATAGTTATAGGGAGTATCCGTTTATTTTGATGATGGTGACTGCTTGAGTTATGAAGAGACTACGCTGTAGGTCGACCGGTAAAGTCGTTACATGTGAGGAAGAGAAGGAAGATGACAAACAAGTCAAGAAATGGTTAAAATAAGCTCCATCAGTCTAATCTTACATCATTCTACAAAGCGCTTCGCTAGGGCCTATTTCATTTGGCATTATAATTAGAGAATTGATTTACTACAATATTAATTCAACAGTTTCAGTTTATACGTCTCAAATCACTATTTTAAAACTTTAAGGGTATATATATTGATCTTATAACCATATATTAATATATTATTGTATTACATATGTCAATTCAATACATGGAGTTCGCATTGTTAATTTTAGGCTACTTAATTAAAAAAAAAATCATGGGTGTGTCTATAAGTGGCACCACATTCACAGATTCAGTAAAGTATTAACGTGTAATGTTGAGGGCAGAAAATAAAGGGAAAAATCGAAAAAGTAGAAAGAAATGAAATTATAAGAAAAGAAGTACGAAAAGTGGGGTGGGGTTAGTGCTTATACCGTGGAATCGCTGGAGCACCATGCACCCTTTCTTATTTTTATTTCTCCTTTTCTTAAAATTGTTAATAATTTTTTTATTTTTGATCCGATTTTTATAAAATTTATATCAATTTTTTTTTTCATGATCTTTCAAATGAAACCAATATTGCCTATGTAATTTTAATTTTTTACATTCATACATTTTTTTGTAATATATTTTTATATGCACACACTTTTTCTATAATATATTTTTTTTATCACTTTTATATGTTTTTAGAGGTTTTTAAGATATTGAGTTTGTTTATTTTGCTTCTAGCTTGAAGTTACATTTGATAATATACGAAGTTACATCATCTTATACTCCAGTTACAAGTTATTATGTTTGAGTTACATCTTGTTATGTGTGAGTTACATCTTGTTATACACGAGCTACATACTTTTATGCGCAAGTTACATGTAATTATGTGTGAGTTACATCTTGTTATACACGAGTTACATACCTTTATGCGCGAGTTACATGTAATTATGTGTGATGAGTTATATCTAATTATTTGTGATTTTTTACTTATCTTTATCTTGAACTAATTCAATTATAACTGAATTAATTTTTTCTTTTCCAATTTAATATAAAATTTTATTAATCCACATAAAATAAGTATATTGTATTTCATATTCATACACTATTTTTCAAATGATAAAAATGAAAGATGTAGCAGGGGTTTATTTCGTGGTGTAACTCACATACATTAAGATGTAACCCGCGTATATTAAGATGTAACTCGCGTACAATAAGATGTAACTCGCGCAGAAGAAGATGTAACTTCATGATATATTATCAAATGTAACTTCAAAATAATTTTTTAAAATTACATAAGCAATATTGGTCTCATTTGATAGATCATGAAAAAAAATTGATATAAAATTTATAAAATCGGATATCAAATAAAAAAGTTATTACAATTTTTAACAATAAAAAAAAATAAAAAATAATGGAATCAACCACTGAAGCTGCGTCGTTTTGCAACCGGGCGCACCATCCTCATGGTGCGCCGGTTGCAGGGTATAAATTGCGGGTGAGGGTGGGGTAAACAGATCATTGTTTGAATTTAAAATATTTCAGCCCTTTTGAGCTTATGTGGCTTGACGAACACAACCTTAAACACGTGTAACATTTATTTTTATATTTTATCTTTTTATGCAACTATAGTATTATTATACGGAGTATATTTGTAAATTTTGGCCCCACCTGAATTGAAATCATGGATCAACCACTCCCTCATCCTGACCCTCGAGGTAAAAAATACTCCGTATCAAACAAAAGAACAAATGGAGGTTGTGATTAAAATGTGTTCATATTCAAGATATTCTATTGAGAGAATTTAATGCATCACTTCAAAATATAATGTTATTATTTTAATGCATACATTAATTGGAATCCTATTTTTAGTGATATATACTTAGAAACTGTGAAAAAACAGAACGTATTCTCCCTATATGGGAATTGACTTTTCAGATTTTCCTTTTTTACTTTCATGTTTTCGATTACTACTTACTACTTCCACATTCATTACGTACCTAGTAATCTAAATATAATATAAAGTTATAAACTATAAAGTGTGACTTCATGTTCAACGAAAAAAGATCTAACATGCAATAATGTGGTACGTGCTGAAGCACTGTCATGTTCTTATACAGTAATATTTTTGGAAAACTCCGAATGAAATTCCTTTACTATTTTCACTTACATATGAAAAGATCGAAAACCTGTTATTTCATGGAAAATATATATATAATACTACTTGTTCAAACAGTCTGAAACATATTTTGAGAATAGTGTTACTTGTTCAAAGGGTCACGAATGGTTAAAAGAATATATTAGCCCGGGGGTTTTATTCTACCACTATAATTAATTGATTTTTAAATTTTTTGTATATGAAGAACTATCAAATAAGCACTCGAACTTTCATAAAAAGTGCAAATAAGCCCTTTTACAGAAGGTTTTGTCCGGCTATCGCCATTTGGGGCGGTTTCCGGTGGAATTTTTTGATAAAATTTTTTGAGCATCTTCTTCATTAAGTCTAGTTTAGCCATACCAAATTTTAGCTAAAAATTCAATCTAGAAGGCAGACAAATGATTTTCTGAAACATACTGCGCTGTCTAACTGCGCAGTTATCTTCAAAAATTCATTTAACTGTCTTCCCGATTGAATGTTTAGCTGAAATTTGGTATGAGTAAACTAGACTTAATGAAAAAGACGCTCAAAATTTTCATTAAAAAATTTCACCGGAAACCACCCCAAATAACGACGGCCGGACAGAGCTTCGTATAAAAAGGCTTATTTGCATTTTTTATGAAAGTTTGAGGGCTTATTTGATAATTCTCCCTTATGTACATGTATAATCATGGATTCACGGGTAATGGATAGAATTCGAGGATCCCTTTTAATTTACACATTATGAGCCTGTTTGGTGGCCTCTTTTTCGGCATATCAGACTTATCAACCGACTTTTTCACCAAACACGTAACTTTTGATTTCTGCGCTGAAGTTTGTAATAAGCAGAAAAAATAAGGCTGTAGTTAGTTTTCAGGTTGTATTGGCTGAAGTTATTGTAGAGGATCATTTTAGCTATTTTTCATATAATTTTTCATTTAATTTATTAATAACAAATATTTTAAATATAATTTTTTCATGAATCAGCAGAATCAGCCAATACAGACACTTCAGCCAGAACTTCATAAATTTCAGCAGAATCAACCAATTCAGTCAATTTTAGTGTTACCAAACGGGCTCTATATCATGGTGATTTAAACTAAGCTACAAATCTCTACATTATAATTAACCACTCGTGTCATACTCTAACTCGGAATAACAAATTTCCACGGACGTGTTGTAGTGTTATGATTAAAAATGTACGTAAATTTATTTAGGTATGTAGATGTTAAAAAACACTAATCACATTATTTCATCCAACCGTCGAATTTGTTTTTTAAGAGTAACCCATACTATGTATATGACTTTATCACAACATAGAGATCATCAATGGGCTAAGCTGGGCCACACCGGCCCAAAACTAATGTGTTCTTATTGAACTCAAAACAATAACTTCAATTTAGAGCAAATCTTAATAACTCAAAACAGAAACATTCAGATTAGGTGAACAAAATACCTTTTAGTGTTTGATATTTATAGTGAAAAGTATCAATATATATTTTACATTTATGTATGCCCTATACATAACAAAGTTGTAGTACAAAGTATAATATAATCAATTAGCAATAGCTATTTCTTGTAATAGTAAATAAATTTAATTAGCAACTGCTAATCTGCTATGCACATTCAATAATTAGCATAAAAATGTGATGAATAACCATATATGTGATGGCTTATATGAGGATGACAGGAGAGTTGTCAGTTGTCACACGTTCATAGGAATAAACTAAGTAATGCTAATTAACAATTTGTCTTGCAAATTGTTAATTAGTTAACAATTTTCCCTAGATTAATAGTGATTTAATTAATTAGTTAACTCAATCACACACACATAAGTTCTTTTCCCCTTAGACTCATTTATATTACCACCATAAGTTTTTGTCTTGCAAATACATTAACAATTTGTTTATAGAACCATCGATCTAAGTAATTAATTAGCTCGAACAAGTTTCCTATTTTAAGGAAAAAATGCAGAAGGAAAAATTACTTTCTTTCTTATTTTCCTCTTTGTAATGGAATATGCAAGGTAAAATTGACTAGATTTACTTGTTGACCATATGTAGGGAGAGCATGTGTTTCAAAATACTAGCAAGAGACAAAGGCCCTTAAAGAGTGGGGAAAATAAGAATTCTTCAAAATGAGCTTTGCATTTATTAATAAAAATTTAAATTAGGAAGATGTTTTTTAATAAATTTAGTTCCAAAATTAAGTTTTTCTTTCCATGATGGGGATTAGTGCACTGTGTCATCTTGTCTTATAGTGAACGCCATTTCTTCCTCTATATAAGACTCCAAACAGCAATTTCAAACGACCCCTGACCACCCCAAGTTTCATTTCTTTCCCCTTCTTCTACGGTCAATTCAAGCTATCATACCAAATTTTAATGGAAGAAATGGCCTCTTTATGGAGCTATCAAGAGGTATGCAGGAACTATATAAACTATCTACTTCAATATGGGCCACAATAAGAACGTTTTTGATACATTTATATCGTTAAGATCTTTATTCTTTGGATTTCATTCACTATTCATTTCATAAAGTGTTCATCTTTTAGTTAATAAATTCAAGATTCATGTTAGATTTCCCTCAAAAAGAAAGATTCATGTTAGATTCCAATCATTTGATTGATTCTTGATAATCTGGGCAGACTATGGATGAGCTGAGGCAGAAGCTTTTGTACACAACTATTGAACTGCAACGGTTGAAAGCTCAATCAAGGGAAGAGACAAGGAGGAGCAAAGAATATATGGACCAATTGATTCAGCTTGTCCACACTGTCATCAGGGAAAGAGATGAAGCAAGAAACCACATTCAGAAGATTCTCAACAGCAGCTGCCATAGACATGCAGCAGGAAGAGCAAATTCCGGGCTGACCGAATCAAACAATAGCCTCTCCGACACACAGAACCATTACTGTTCGTCCCCGGTCGAGTCCTTGTTGGATCCCGTATCTTCCCCGGTCGAGTCCAACAACAACGTTCACCAACGTGTGGTGCACGATGCTGGTGGGTTACTCGACCAGGGCAGTTTGATAATTGATAGTCTTGCGAAGGGTAAACCCTTGCCCGAGAAAGGGAGATTCCTGAATGCTGTGCTGGAGGCGGGTCCACTCCTCCAGACGCATCTCCTCGCGGGCCCGCTCCCGAGGTGGCGTAACCCGCCTCAGCTTAAGGCGTTCCACATCCCGCAGGTTTCTCTCAGAAACTTAATTGGGGATGAGGATGAGGTTATTGCAGCACATTCAAGAATGGTGATGCTCAACAATGGAGGTGCTTCACAGCAGCCTTATTTTGAGATGTCCTGTGGATCCTCACAAATGCATTCATCTTCTCCAATGTTGAACTTTGGCAGTAACCTTGCTTCTGGATCGTGCGGTGGAAACCAGATGTTGATATCTGGAGGGTCAGATGTTGACTGCTATGGCCATTTGGGAAAAAGACAAAGGCTCCTTTGAAAGATAATGCTTTGGTTGAATAGAAATACACATATATTATTTGTATAAAAGGAGAAACAGAGAAGGAGATTTGAGGGCAGGTTTGGGTGATGTAAATGGGATAGATTCATATTTGAGTTTGAGTGGCATACTACATGTAGCCCCCCCTTTTTTTAACCTTTTAAACAGATTTTTAGAGTTTTGCTTACTTCCTGAGCCCATTAGTCTAAAACCTCTGTTTGATGCTTGGGACACTTCATCTCTGAAACTTAACAAAAGAATGAAAACTGTCTTTATCTGCCCAGAAAATAAAAACTATAACTAATACTATAAAACTTATAATCTTAAGAACTTTCTAGGATGAATATAATCTGAAGAACTTATAGTACTTGTTATCTACATTTTATAAAGTTGATATGCTAAGTTCACACAATCATTCGTTAAACACTTAAATCTATCATAAATAACACAATATTGTCTATATATATGGAGTAAAATGTAGATTAAGTGAAGCAAACTATTGGTTATTGGTTCTGGCTATATACATTACTGTTTGAGAATGTTATTAGTATAGTCGTGGGGTTTGATCAGGTTAACAGAATTGGAAAAGGTTGAACCTATTTCGAATCAAGTAATGAACAAAAGAAGGCTAAAAAATATAAAAAGGAATATAGGGCGCTCTACTAGATTGGGTTGTAATGAGTTACCTTTGACTAAAGGTAAAAAAGAGGCGCCTATTCGTTGCTCTGTTTCCGCTCACATGCTTGTGGTGCGTGAATACCGTAATAATCCCTGAATACTATCAGGTACTTATTCTCGAACCCGTGCGGCACTAGCAACCCTCACTCCGAACTAAGCTAGTCAGTCTAACTCTTGCGGAAACTAGGACACCGATTGCGGAGAAACTCGTACAAATGCTTTATTGCTCAGGAGAGTCGTGACAATACCCACGGAGAAAATAACGTTACATATGGAGTATGCGAATAGGAAGCGGTTCAGCTCAGTCGGTCGCCGACTCACTTTCCATTACGGGAGGTCTCGGGAAAAAGAATGACATATGTGCTTTGACATTTGAAACTTCCATGTGCTTCAACTCAAATATGCTCACTTTTTTATGGTTTATTTCGAATTAATTCTACTTTTGTTTCTTTCCTAATAATTAGATATCTAAATTTTCTTTCATTTGAAAAAGTGATTCTATTTAAAACGTATAATACTGATTCTTGTCTATCAAATAGAGAACCAATTTGAGTGTTTGGATGAGTTGCGATTCCAAATTACTTTTTAATTGAATTATTAAAAGGACAATTACGACATTGTATTAATATTACACTAGATATTTGATGTAAAAATAATTCAAACAATGAAAAAAAACAGAAATAATGACATATTATATGTTTAAAATAAAGACGATGGAAAAAAATGTGACCTCTTACAAAAATTAAATATATTATAAACTTTTACTTGTTATGATTATGTAATGCCCGTCAAATTATCCACATAGTAACTTTGATCATTTTTTGTCCAGAATTCTTTTGAGTAATATTCTAGGAAGAACTTCAAACTTTCTTTGATGAAATTGTGCAGAAATAATAACTAGTTACTTTTATCACATTCATTTCTTTTTAAGAACTCAAAATATTTTACCAAAAAATTAGGAGTCACAAATATAATCACATCATACTAATTCTTTTAAACAAAATTAAGTGCTAATGAAAACTTTAGATCACATTACATTATAGTAGTAATGATAGTAATATTAATATTGATATTAATATTAATAGTAATACTCATATTTATAGATCAAATTCATAGACGTATTCAATTCAATGGCATAACTTGAAATGCGTTGTAATAGTTAGGGATTGAAGTCATACTAAAAATCGGTGAGAATATATTTATATTTATATTTATATTTATATTTATATTTATATTTATATTTATATTTATACTTATACTTATACTTATATTTATATTTATATTTATATTTATATTTATATTTATATTTATATTTATATTTATATTTATATTTATATTTATATTTATATTTATATTTATATTTATATTTATATTTATATTTATATTTATATTTATATTTATATTTATATTTATATTTATATTTATATTTATATTTATCTTTATATTTATGTTTATATTTATGTTTATATTTATGTTTATATTTATGTTTATATTTATGTTTATATTTATGTTTATATTTATGTTTATATTTATGTTTATATTTATATTTATATTTATATTTATATTTATATTTATATTTATATTTATATTTATATTTATATTTATATTTATATTTATATTTATATTTATATTTATATTTATATTTATATTTATATTTATATTTATATTTATATTTATATTTATATTTATGTTTATATTTATGTTTATATTTATGTTTATGTTTATGTTTATGTTTATGTTTATGTTTATATTTATGTTTATATTTATGTTTATATTTATGTTTTCATTTATGTTTTCATTTATGTTTTCATTTATGTTTTCATTTATGTTTTCATTTATGTTTTCATTTATGTTTTCATTTATGTTTATATTTATGTTTATATTTATATTTATATTTATATTTATATTTATATTTATATTTATATTTATATTTATATTTATATTTATATTTATACTTATATTTATACTTATATTTATACTTATATTTATACTTATATTTATACTTATATTTATACTTATATTTATATTTATATTTATATTTATATTTATATTTATATTTATATTTATATTTATATTTATATTTATATTTATATTTATATTTATATTTATATTTATATTTATATTTATATTTATATTTATATTTATATTTATATTTATATTTATTCTTATATTTATATTTATATCTATATCTATATCTATATTTATATCTATATTTATATTCATATTTATATTCATATTTATATTCATATTTATATTTACATTTATATATTTAGAAAAATTGTCCTAAACAAGAGTCAAAATGTCTAGAAATTCTAAAATAAGACATCTGTTTTTTTCTTAATGAAATAGGAGTCATTACCGTCATACTGTCATTAATGGCAGTAAATACTGCCATATATGTTACTCACATTTCGGGAAAGAAAACATAATAGTTATATTTTGAATTTTCCAAACAATTTTACTCCTGTTTCGAGAATTTCCCTTTTTATATTGTTCTAGGAGATAAGAACTTTCTCCTATCCCTCGATATCAATTGTCTTTCATATTCAAAGATACATGCTTCATTAGGGTATGGCCCGGGTCTTCAATCAGTTAAAGAGTTTAAACATCATATACTTATATTTATATTTATATTTATATTTATATTTATATTTATATTTATATTTATATTTATATTTATATTTATATTTATGTTTATATTTATGTTTATATTTATATTTATATTTATATTTATATTTATATTTATATTTATATTTATATTTATATTTATATTTATATTTATATTTATATTTATATTTATATTTATATTTATATTTATATTTATGTTTATATTTATGTTTATATTTATGTTTATATTTATGTTTATATTTATGTTTATATTTATGTTTTCATTTATGTTTTCATTTATGTTTTCATTTATGTTTATATATTTATATTTATATTTATATTTATATTTATATTTATATTTATATTTATATTTATATTTATATTTATATTTATATTTATATTTATATTTATATTTATATTTATATTTATATTTATATTTATATTTATATTTATATTTATATTTATATTTATACTTATATTTATATTTATATTTATATTTATATTTATATTTATATTTATATTTATACTTATATTTATACTTATATTTATACTTATATTTATACTTATATTTATACTTATATTTATACTTATATTTATACTTATATTTATATTTATATTTATATTGATATTTATATTTATATTTATATTTATATTTATATTTATATTTATATTTATATTTATATTTATTCTTATATTTATATTTATATCTATATCTATATCTATATTTATATCTATATTTATATTCATATTTATATTCATATTTATATTCATATTTATATTTACATTTATATTTATATTTAGAGAAATTGTCCTAAACAAGAGTCAAAATGTCTAGAAATTCTAAAATAAGACATCTGTTTTTTTCTTAATGAAATAGGAGTCATTACCGTCATACTGTCATTAATGGCAGTAAATACTGCCATATATGTTACTCCCATTTCGGGAAAGAAAACATAATAGTTATATTTTGAATTTTCCAAACAATTTTACTCCTGTTTCGAGAATTTCCCTTTTTATATTGTTCTAGGAGATAAGAACTTTCTCCTATCCCTCGATATCAATTGTCTTTCATATTCAAAGATACATGCTTCATTAGGGTATGGCCCGGGTCTTCAATCAGTTAAAGAGTTTAAACATCATATACTTATATTTATATTTATATTTATATTTATATTTATATTTATATTTATATTTATGTTTATATTTATGTTTATATTTATGTTTATATTTATATTTATATTTATATTTATATTTATATTTATATTTATATTTATATTTATATTTATATTTATATTTATATTTATATTTATATTTATATTTATATTTATATTTATATTTATATTTATATTTATATTTATATTTATATTTATATTTATATTTATATTTATATTTATATTTATATTTATATTTATATTTATATTTATATTTATATTTATATTTATATTTATATTTATATTTATATTTATATTTATATTTATGTTTATATTTATGTTTATATTTATGTTTATATTTATGTTTATATTTATGTTTATATTTATGTTTATATTTATGTTTATATTTATGTTTTCATTTATGTTTTCATTTATGTTTTCATTTATGTTTTCATTTATGTTTATATTTATGTTTATATTTATATTTATATTTATATTTATATTTATATTTATATTTATATTTATATTTAT